TAGATTTATTTATCTGAAATATTTTTTAGTTTCTTGACTTCATTCATTCTCATAATTTTCGCATATATATGATTGTATTTTCTTTTAACATTAGGATAAATTTAACTAGAATATTGACATATATAATATCCTAATACTACTTCAAGTAGGTATTCTGAAATTGTGCTCAACCTAGACAATAGTTTCTCAAATTGTGGCCTTGGTAAAGCTTTTGTGAAGAGGCTGCGACTTGGTCTTTGGTAGAAATGTGTTGAGTAACATTAGGCCATCCATAATTACTATATGTGATACTCGAATACTATATGTTTAGTCTGTTCATACTAACGGGGTTTGCAGCTATATGTAATGAGGTGTGACTGTCACAATATAGAGGCATATGATGAGAATATTTGAAAAACAAATGTGTGTTGAAGTTCCAGAAGTCATTGCAGTTTGCTGAGCGTATATGCCATAGGCTACTCAGCTTCAGCAGGTATATTGACATATATATTATACTAATTATATCCACATTGATCTTTTGAAGATTTGGTATTATATCTAAAATATTGAAGTTTTTGCCATTTTTAAACGTTTGGACTATATACTAAGTTGAGAGGGATTAAAGATTTTGTGTGGTTTCTTGGTAAGTCTAAGATGCATTTTAATAACTAATCCAAAAGTCTTGGCTGGACCGATTATGAATATCTTAAACTTTTTCAACTATAATAAATAATACAATATATTTCACGTATATTTTTAGTTCTTAACTATTGGAAAGTATTTATTCGAATTAAATTTACTCATTTTAATATTAACATGTTTAGAATATATTGCTAAGTGTTCGATATTCTCAAATCTACTCTATTAAAATAGAGTCATTCTTTTTATCTACTGATACAAATTGTCATTTAAAGTTGGACCCTTTCTAGAATGTTACAAATAATATAAGTCATATAATTGATTGAACCGTATTACTTAAATTAAACCAACACAATTAATGTAAAGAAACGACTTTAATGTAAACTACCTTCAAAATACGGCATGTATCTATGTGTATACCGAAAACACATATTTTCTCCTACATATATGAAATGTTCTAAAATAATATATATCATCAAAATATTGAATATGGAAATCTACTAATTATACTTAAATTAAACCAGTGGTTATTTATGGAATATAGTCTTGGGCTTACTTTTGTTTTTTGAACAAATTATATAATTTGGTTTTTGGGAATCGTATTAAGAAAAAAACTCAAAAAACATTGAATAACTTTTCACCTTAAAAGATCAAAAAATCAATTATTATTTTCAGACCCAGAAGATATTTAATATTTTTAACAAAACAAAATTATCTATTATTAATCATTTATTTAAATCATGTACTTTAAAACATGTTAATTTATTTTTTTATTTTAAATAACAATCACTTTTTTGATAAATTTCAATGGTAACTTTTAAATAATTTATTGTTTTATTTTTCTTAAATAATTTACTGATTAAAAAAATGTAAAGTAAAACCAAAAACCAAATCTAAAAACTAAAATCCAAAACCAAAAGCTGAAAACACATGTTATATTTTTTTGCTTTGTTTATTTACAAAATAAACTATTTCAAATTTAAAAAAAAAATTGTTATCATCTTTTCAGTTTTAAATTAGCTGTTCGATTATTTGAGATTTGTTTGTTGGTAATATTAGTTCAAACTAACTCAGCGGATTTACAAATTAAAAACCCAAACCAAAAACTGAAAATGAAAGTAGAAACTTAAAAACCAAAAACCAAAAACCAAAATCTAAAAATAAAAACTGAAACTAAAAACTAATGAAAAACAATCATCGCCACAAATTTTGGTGAACTTATTTTATATCAAAATATTCTTTAAATTAAGATAACTCAATTATATTAATCATAACAAATTTCCGCGCTTTTCAAGCGCGGATCAAAATCTAGTTTGTTAGTAAAAAAAGGTTTCTCGATTATGTACTACTTTTGGCAATAATAATACTCTAACTAGATTTTGTGTTTCCAACTGGTATTTCCATATCTATGTGGACGTGTATGGCGGTTGAATGCATGTACTTTATGCTAGCTTGTATGTTCTTGTGGATTATGTGTATTTAACAAATTCAAATATGGCTAATGGTCTGTATTTGGTTAGTGTTAGTGTTAGTGGTCATCATGATGTTATACCTAATAAACGAAACCAAAGAGTATGATATGTTTGTAATTTGATCCAGAATTTGAATATATGATAATCAGAAACCTAATTAAGAATCCTTACAAATGGGGATTTTAGCACTGGAATATATATATATATATATTGACAATCTAAGGTCAACATATTATGAGGCTAAAAACGTTAAAAAGATAAGACGATGGTATAAATATATATTTTTAGATTATTTGTTAGTGCACTCTAGATCGACCCCTTAATTTGAAAAATATCCACAATGTGACCATTGCAAAATAATAACTAGAATGTCCTTCGTTTCTCTCACCTTAGGCATGTCAGATTTTCTGTGTAACTATGTCAGCTATTCTTTGTGTGAGCCACTTTACAACCACTTGTATCAACTGATTCATTCTCTTCTCCTTTATTATATATTTTTGTTTCTAATTTTATGAAGATATCATGTTAATGCATTCTATTTTCTGTGTTAAAAGTTATTGTTGCGAAAAAACCTATTACTAAATTACTAGTATTCCTATGAATCTAAATTATTTTAATTACACCACATACTGAAAAAATTAGCATTGTGATATTTTTATAGTCGCCAAAGATGTTAACAGTGGTTAGCTGTTAACAAATAATGTAGATGTCAATAGATGTGTTAACTGTTAACAAAAACATATACAAGAAATGTTAACAGAAATGTTACATGTTAACAAATATTTTGTAGATGTTAACATAGGTGTTAACTATTAACAAATACACGTATCAACTAATATTAAATGTTAATATAGGTGTTAACTGTAAGAAAATACACGTACCATATACTTCTATAAATATATGGTAGTATATCATACAAGAAAATAGCAATACATGCGTTCTAAATGTGAATTAAATTCATATGAGAATTATTAACCTTCACCATCAATAGAATCACTATCATGAATTTCAGCGGTTTTATCAAGATTTGGTGTTAAATTATCTTTGGATTTTGTTAGAATATCAAGATATTGGCACCCAAAGTTTTATGTATCTTGATTAAAATTGATAAATCAAAAAATATATTCAAAGAAATAGAAAGAAATGAAGAAAAAGAAATGAAGAGAATCTGAAAAAAAAGAAGAGAGAATGAGATTAAGAAGATAGAGAAGTTAGAGAGAATGACAGTGGAAAGAGATTGTCATAATCTAGGTTGCATGGAATCGGAAATGAAATGTTTCGAAACGTAGAAACTTGATTTTTGATTAATTTTTTTTTGCTTAGGAAACGTTTTAGAAATGTCTATAAATATATAAACATATATATATATAAAATTTATTAATATGAGAACTCAGTTTTAATTATGTTTAGTGTATTTAAGAATACAAATAAATCAATAGACGTTCTATATAATCATAGGAAAAATAAAAATAGTCATTATTAAACATCAAAATCAAATAATTTCAAAATAAGAAAAATTCAATACTTAAATATTAAATAGGTTGACGAAAGATAAAAATCATAACTGCAAGTCAAAGATCAATAACATCATCTTTAACCTTGGTTTACCGCTTCCAACTCAGGTTCATCAAGAACAATCTCAAGTCCCTATTAATCTCATCTAGTGAAACAAATTGATCACCTCCAGTCTCGAATCTAATTGGGACCATATTTGTATGCAGACTTCGACTAGATAATGCTCTTCCAATTAGTTTGTTTTTGAACTTATTAAAACAATAAATTGATCCTTATATTTATTATTTATTTATAAAAAATTCTAAAATAAAAAAAAAGTTTCTTAAGTGTTTCCAAAACATAATTGTGAGTTTCCAAATAGAAACGTAAGTTTCCATCAAGTTTCCAAAGTGAAAATTAAAAAAAAAAACAAGTTTTGAATAAGCTTCCGCGAGTTTCCAAGAGACCCGATTCCAAAACGTTTCCGAAAAGTGAAACATACCTTCAACCAAGTGATTAATAAAAAAATAATTTTCATTAATGTGTAGATTTCCTTAATATAAGATGATTTTTTGACCAACATACATAATAATAAAATAGCTTCATATAAAATATGATTCTAAAACATTTCGTAAACCAGATCCAAATTATATAATTAACTTGATTTAGTAAAAATATGAATTTATTAGATTCTCAAATAACATATTGATAAAAAATGATATAAAGAAATGTGTATTGAAAATATAAGAAATGATAATAAAACATTGAGGAAAAGAAATTATGAGATGTGGATAAAAAAATTGATACTAAAAAGGAAAATATGACGTAAGACCCTTGAACGTTGAAAATCGAATTATAATCCCTAAGGGTTGGTGAACAAACAAAAAAAAAAATTCATAAGGATTATTGATGTCACGAGTTACCAACAATCCCAATGGACTAGTAACAGCTATTTCCTCAATTAATTTATATAATCAGTATTGGACACATGCTCCATCCTTTTAATAATGTGGGCCTGCCTTTGATACCTGTTTTAGGATGACAGTTTTGCTATCAATGAAGAATATTAGTAGGAAAAATGTTATATAACAAGGTAATGTCCATTTACTATTTAAGAATGCTCTTGTTTTAACTAAACTGATTCAAAATATTCCATCCAAATTAATGTGACGCTGAATGAGTTTATAATCACATAAAGAAAAAAAATCAAATGAAAAAGTAAACCGAACCCGCTTGAAAGAGTTTATTCTACTCATAATTTCAAGATTCAACATTACACCTTATTAACACAAAAGCCAAGCAAAGAACCCAACAACCCAACCATCACAACAAAGAACAAATCCACTTTCTACAAACGCGATATAAATACGTTTTTTTTTGTCAACATATAAGTATGTATACGTTCACAAATAGATATTTCTCTGTAATTGTGGAGTGAGCCTCAAGGAAGCTTTCCTCTCTGGGGACTTTAGAATAAATCAATGGAGGTTCAAGAACAAGATACCCGGAAAAAGCGAGCCAAGTTCTCTCCCATTTTCATACTCATTGTTTTTCTTGGTCTCGCCGCGTTTTTCCTTTGTCTCGCGTCTGAGTTTCAGAAGGCCAAGGTGGACAGTTACGCCAAATTATTCGTTTCCCAAGTTATCGATTTTATGTTCTAGGAACACAAAAATCTGGTGATTATTTTGTATTTTTTATTTTAGGGGCAAGATCTGAAATGGGATGGAGAATCATGTTATCTACCCGAAAGTCATGCGTTCAGGTTTGGAACCGCGGCTCTAGTCTGTGTTTCGGTTGCTCAGATCATCGGAAATGTTGTGATTTGTAAAGGTTTCTTTAAAACAAACAAAAAGGAAATGACCCCGTTTCATGTATTGCTTCTGTTGTTTTCTTGGTGAGAAATGCTTATTTACTAAATCGGATTAATGAAGAAAACCAAATCATTTTTAACTAATGTGATTGTACAACTTTAATTACAGGGTTAATTTTGCGGTTGCGGCTATGTTGATTATCGTTGGTGCAAGCATAAACAGAGAGCAGAAATACGGCAAGGGGTGGCTAAACGGTGAGTGTTACCTTGTGAAAGACGGTCTGTTCGCATCATCCGGCGTTCTGTGCGTTACAGCACTGAGTGCAGTTCTCGGAACGTTTGCGTCCAACGTCAAACCATCGTTACAGGTTGACACTCAAAACAAAATTCATAGCCACAATGTGTAGCAATTCTCTTTTTTTGTTCCCTTATAATCTTGAGAGTTAACTTGAAAACAAAGATATTCGATCAGATATGACAGTACGGTACCTTGATCATAGATTTTCACTAGATTGGTTGTTTATTTCTTATTTTTGGTAAAACACTAGATTGGTTGTTAAAGTGTTACATATGAATTTTATGTGTCAATTATTGATTATTTACGTTTTTGCGTTTATGAACGGTGTTTATATACTCATAGTATTTTAATGTATACTTGTATACATATATATAACTAAAAGATGTAGTTCAAACATTTTAATCCGTATTTACGTTTAAATTGCAAATAATATTTGATAAATGTTTTGAACTAACAATAATCACACAAGGATCTAGCATGAGAATCCGCGTTTACGCAAAAAAACTGCGATATCACTTTTGAGGCCAACCGAAATGTGTCTTGGTAAGCATAGGTAGGTAAAGTGAGATGCTGACAGTGTTTCTAACTTGATGGAGACTGATCATCTTCTTATTTAAAACGACACCACTACGCCAATACATCCAAGCCAACAGAACCATAATTTGAGATAACAGGCCTCACCACAATGTAGAAAAAGAAAGAAAAAGAAAAGCTACAATAGGTTCTTGCTCTTTAAGCAATCGTTTCTTGTTCTTGGTAGTAAAAAGAAAGTTCTCGAAGCAATTTTGACCAGACTGAAATAATTACCAAAGGCCTTTTTTGTTACATTGCTCAAAACAAAATAAAGGGTTTACGTCACTTCAAAATGTTTTAGGATATTCTATCAGACGTTGGATATACACACCCAACTCGCCTGATGATAGGTTTGAATGAGGTTGGTTTGGTTGTTTCGATGCCTGAGAATTGTTTGTTCGAGAGGTTGAATGATTCTTTCCAAGGAAATAGTGGTTCGATATTTTTTATGAAGTTTCTAGTTTTACCACGTTTTTATTTCCTTTTTAGAGAAGAAAAGCTTCTCAAAATCTTTCCGACATTGATTTCGTGGTGACCAATTTTGACTCTAATAATTAGCCTCCCAACTCGAAAGTTTTGATTTTGATTCTTTCGGGCAGTTAGGCAGGTTAGGCAAGTTAGGCATAATTAGTGGAAAAAAGACCAAAGGTATATAGTAGATTTTTCTTTTCTGTAAGTTTGTGGAGCAAGTTTTTGAAATTGTTACTTGCTCACTCCCACAAGAATTTATCTCAAGGAAGAAAAATATTTCTCTCCCTTTTTCTCTCTTTGTGAGTTTTGATCATGTCTTTGAACTAGAGGGCTTTAGACAATGTTATGAATTATAGTTTTGATCATGAGAGTCATAATATCCGAGATGGTGAATTCGGCTCTGAAGATCGAGTTCATAGCGCACTCTGTTAATCCTGAAGATGCTGATGCATAATGGCTTGCCACATGCGATTTAAAGGCTCCTACCCCCTCCCCACGAGCCGTGGTGTCCTACAAGGCCTCGTGCTAAAAAAATTAAAGGCAGTCTGAGCAAGAGTGGCTATCCGTTCTCAGCGTCGTACGAAATTTTGTCCTGTCCCGGACTCGGTGGAGTTTCGAATTCCAAAGACTAGAGAACACGCAGATATTCTTCCTGATGGTTACTTCACATGCTACGAAGCACATCTACTTCATTTTCGCTTGTGGTTCCCCATCCCGGAGGTCATCGTCCAAACCTTGGATCGATTTTTATTGTCAATAAGCCAAATTTCTCCTCCCAGCTTGCAGCATCTTATCGAATTCTGGTTTTGAGTTACGAACGTAGAATGACCCTTGATGCCGATTATTTTGAGGTTTTGCTGATGTCCAAGAGGAATAGCAAATTGCTTGAACATCGTTTGAGTCTGCGACCGTTTATGTTGATAATCAAGGGATTTCTTCCAATATGCATGATTGCCAAAATTGCTAGTTTTTTGTTTGTACAGACAGTGCATCCATCGCGGAGAGCTTCATCTCCATATTTAGGAGTAGATGGGGTCGAAATGGTATCTTGATCGAATATCCGTTAATTTTTTTTGTTTTCGAGATATCTAACATTGCGATCGTTTTCCTTCTTTTGTAGTGACCAACCCTTTTTCCCGTTTCCCGAGGATTTGCACATCGTTAGGAATCTCCTCTGGGGGGGACAGTTCTTTTAGGGATACTTTTCCCGAAATGAGTACGTCTTGCGATCATGTATAATCGTTACCGTCTTCAGCCTGAATTGTCGATTGAAGAAGATTCATGGATGAGTTTGTTCACTGAGACAGCCCGGTGGAGAGGGAGAGAGAAAGGTCCCCTAAAGACAAACACATTACCGTTTATGAAGATGATGCCGCTGATGGTTTGGAGCTTCCTGCGGATGACGAGTGGTTTCGCAATTGCCTTGGCATCCAAGTTTGTGCAAGTCGCGTTGATCATGTTGACCTGCCGGGGTTTGATGCTCGTCGTCCCGATCTTGACGAGTTTTTTTACCTCTATGGGGACTGACTTTAATCCGCTCCCGGCTGACGGTGAATCTGGCGAGGTGTCAAAGTTTACGAAGGATTCACAGATGTGTAACGAGTTAGTTTTTAAACTTGGCCAATTTTTTTTTTTGAATTGGTTTTACTAACCCTAAAAACTTGCTGCGCCTTCTTGTAATGAATGAAGTCCTTAACGCAAGTTATGTGAAAGAGTGCATGGCTCAATTCAGGGTTGAGAGAGCCGAGGTTGAGGTCACTCGACTAAGGAGCGAGGCTGCGGCAAATTCCAAGCGTGAGAGGGTCAAGGCCGCAAGGCAGACTCGTCGTGCGTATAGAGAGGGAAAACGAGAAGTGGTTCTCGTTTGGGAAGCTAAAGGATACTTATGAGACTCACAAAGACTATCGCGGTGGCGGGGCTCTGTTGGCGTTTTATGGCGTATGCAGCAACCAAAATATTCTTTGACACTGACATGACCAAGTTGTAGGGTCATATGGACAGACGTAAGAATGTGAGATCTGCGTTTCCATCAATTGAAGAGAAGATTTGGGAGAAATGGGCCCCGATTTCGGTTTCTCTAGATTCAGAGAAGATTGGCCTAGGAGTTTCCGGTGAGGGCATGGAAGTGAACCAGCCTGCGGTTCCGCCAAACGTTAGTGGATGTATGTTTGGGGTTTTGATGTCTCGAAACTTTGAGATAATCCATGAAGGCTGCTTGTGAGTAAGGGAGTGTGTTCCCTACTTGTGTTTTATTTCTGCTTGTCTTGATTTTGGCCTAGTGTGGCCGTGTTTTTAGCTCGTGTATGCTTAGGCCAAGTATGGGTGTTTTATGTTTATTGGGACTTGCCCTATGTTGTTTTGAATCCCTGCTGCATTATGGATTTTAATTAATGAAATATGCTTTATATTTTGAAAGAATTGCGTGTTTTCGTAGATGTGGAGGAAAGAATATAAGTTGTCATCTCATATATAACTCTTTGATATTTCGTTACATTCGTTGTTTTGTTTTTAGACAAGTTATCCTTCGCAAAGATTTGTGAACGTTGGAACATGGACGCAAAGACAAATTTTGGGATCTCGTATTGGTTAGATACTATGCCTTGAGATGTTCGAGACCAATGTGCTGGGTTTATGGTAAAACCTAGGCCTAACAACATTTTAGGGGGTGCGATGACTAACTCGGCTTATGATTTCCGTATCATTTTCGACCTAATTTCATCTCAATATTGAAGTCTATGATACGTTCTCGGCCTATATTACTTGCATCGATCGGGACCCGAGCAACTCTCCAGACACAATTTTGAAGTCGTCTAGAAGTGATGACCAAAATTTTGGATTTCTTTTATAGCGTGCTATTATCATTGTGTTGGATGTATGAGGACCAATCCTACGACAGTAAAAGTCTATCGTTCGTTTAGAGAACGGTTTGATATATTCGGCAGGCCAATCGACGAATTTGGTGTAAGAACGAGCATATGTTCTCATGAGTTGGTATGACTTCAGATAAATCAACGTTCATCGTTTTGAGCGTGTTGTAGAAGATAACGTCGATGGTACTTCATGTGTCAACAAGGACTCTAGCAACTTTGAGATCTTTTATCCTGAGGTCGATCATGGTGAAGTTTGTCAATCACGGCGGTCTAGTATTCTTCAAAAGTGGTCGTGTCGTTTGGGATATCTCAGGGTGGAGATTAGTACGTGATCTTCTCAGCTTTTCGCTGATAGGCCTTTATTAAAGAGATGGCATCGTGGCAGTATTACGATCCTCTGATGATCATGTTTAATCTGCGACGATTTCTATAATTACCTTTGTCGTCCGCCCTTCTTCTCCGCCAGATCGAATTTCTTGGGGAGACGCCCATGGTCCTTGGTGTAGGGTTATCCTTCTGTTTAGCCAGAGAAATCATGAGCTTATCTTGTTCGGCTGACTTCGTTTCGAGAGTCGAGAATATCTTTTTAATATCTTTGAACACCGCGGTGTTTGCGTCTTTGTTGACCGGGGAAACTTTCATTGCTGGAGTGCTTTTAATGTTTTCGTCGATGGGATTGCCGTCAAGAGGTAGTTGGTTGTTTTGAGCATCCGTAACCATAGTTGACCAAGATTTTTACGGCTGTGAAGTTAGATTTATCCATTACCCCCTCTCCCTTCTTCTAGCGCCAAACTATGGGAAATCCACACCGTCGATTTTTTTAATCGAAGGAAAGCTAAGAAACCCTAAATTTCCCTAAGGTCCCGGATTTTTGCTGAGCCAAATGACAAATGATAAATTATATGAAAACAGACAAAGTAAATAAATCAAGATTAAGAATAAATAATAGAGATATTATTCTGAATCTGCGTACGAGCGTTACTACAGGTGAAAGCCTTGGCCGCAAGAGCTTTCGGCGAGTATCCTAGTTCTAACAACCTAAGACCATGCGCATCAATGACCCGGTAGTGGGGTTCATGATTTTAGTTTTTTTATTATTATTATTATTTTTTTCGTTTGACTTCAAATAAAAAAAGAAGAAATTGGACCAATAGCGGGCCGCCACGTGGCGTGGGGCCCGCAAAAAAGTCATGAACCGGTTCAGCAGAAAGAACCTTTGCAATCCGAGTTCTCACCAAAAATAATTATTATAATATTTCTTTTTTTTGGAAATGTGTGACCCTGCCCCATGAACCCTTGATGCACTTGTTCTAAGACTTCATAACCTAACTGAGTCGTAGCTCGATAACAAAAATGGAAAGTTGCCTCAATTTCTCTAAGTGCTAAGTTTTCTGAGAATTTTTGTGTCCTCCTGGTCTCTCGCCTTGGCATCCATTATATACTCCTACTAAGTTGGTTTGCCTCTTTCCTTTTCTGCCACTGGTCAATTTTATCTTCTCACGGAAATAT